AATTCGGATTCGAAATTTTAAATAAGGTTTACCTTATTGAATACGAAATTCTGCTGCTCTGGATAAAAATTGTTTAAACAAATTCTGTTAGTATTTCTCTATTTAGCGGTTGTAAAATGATTATCTATACACATTTTCCATTTCGGCAGTACTATGAGATTGAAAATAATAATTAAAAATTAGAATAACAAGTTGTTCATTTCATGACCATTAAGCTTCCTCAATATATATTATTATATATAATTTTAAAAGTTAAATAATTATAATAGTTTATTAAATATAATTAATAAATCGCATTAGCTATATTTCTCGTGTGATCTACGCGTAAAAATATACGTGTGCCAATTTTTAACTCTCTAGGTAAAAAAATGTGAACGTTATGGTCATTTTCATAATAGTTTTAATAGAAAGTTTCTACCGGGTAAAGTACCCTGAAAAAAAATTAATTATTCAATTTTTTTATTATAGAATAATTATTTAAAGTATTAAAATAAAATTTCAATTTTTTTATGAAAATCTAAAATATTTATTAATTCTATAAATATTGATAAAATATATACTTTATATACATGAATCGATTCGTTTTTATGTCAGGAATGCAATTTTGACAAGAATTAATAAAAATTTTAATATAGAAAAAAGTTATTTTAAAAAATCCAAAAATTAATTTTTTCAAAAATTAAAAAATTGTTGAAAAAAAATTTTTTTTTAGATATTTTTGAAAATCCTTCTGTCTGATTTTTAGTATTCATGACCGTAATACACCTACAAAATTTTATCAAAATCCGTCAAGACGTGTAAGAGAAAATTTGTCCACAAGAATCGGTGACATACACACACACACACACACACATACATACACACATACATCCGGACATTTGTTCCTCTCGACGAATTATATATACTACACTTGAAAATTTGTAAAAATAATTGATTCTAAAAAATTCGGAAATCGACATCACTATAAGGCTTCCTTTATGAGGAAGCAATATGAGGAAGCAATAATTCACATTTTACATGCATTAAAAACTATTAATTAGTTAGGATTAATTAATATTTAGAATTATTAGTTACAAACAATTTAAATAGTAGTTGGTAGTAAATGCTTCTTTATTCTTACCCCATTTCCATTACACGATGTTCCATCCTGTGCTGCTGATGATTGCACCCACATTTCTCCTTCAGAATCCGCAAATTTGCAGTAATATTTACAATTATCGAAAAATGACTAAAACAAGAATTTCAAAAATGAAAAATATTACTATAAATATATAAACTAAAACAGTTTTTATTAATTATAAAATCTAACTCTGATAATGTTTGTTACTCCATCTTCTTTGCATTGTTCAACAGCAGATTTATTAAAACCAGGCATATGATAAAGTGGCGGGAATAATGCTTCTATACCTGCATTGTCACTATTAAATGTCACTCTTACACATTTTCCTCTTAAGCAGAACTAAAATTTAATTTGAATAAAATATGTTAAATTTAATACAATTAAGTTATTATAATTACACCATTTTCTTTAATTACTAAAAAGTATAATTCTTAATTTGTTTTTACTTTTTCGAAGTCACAGGGAGTTCCTTCAAGTGCTGGTACTGAAACTATCCAGGTGTTGTTCTCATTAATGCATCTTATTTCTAAGCAAATATCTGGAATTATCTGAAATAAATCACCCATATTAATAGAAGCCTAAAAATTTTATATAAACTTACAAGTATGTCAAAAATATAAATCGACTTGTCGATCAAAGGAATCACGTCTAAGTTTTAATAAATAGTTCAATAAAATTTAATAATCATGATCTTACTTTATCAGCTTTGAGAAATCCTCTTTTTTGGCACTGCTGATCTATTGTCATATATTTACCAGGTAATATTCTTAATATTTGTTTGTCATTTCTATTATCAGCTGGATTGTTACGAAGACAATTAGCCCTCTCGTGACTGAAACGAGATTCGAAGATATTAATCTAAAATTTTCAAATTTCAAATCAATGTAAATATGACTTGAAATAGCGTCTGAAAAGAAATTTTACTAGAACTAATAATTTCTTTCTTTATTCTAAAAAGTATAATAATTATTAAAAACCTAAAGAAGAGGGACATTATTTCTTTGGAGCACGATGAAAAATAAAATTGATTTAAATCATAACGAGTGTTGCCCATCATGAAACCGTCATTAGCAGAACATGCTTCTGCTCCTGGTCCACCTAAAGCTGTATATGCTTTATAACCATCATGAGGAACTCCAAATCTAAACATAAAAAAAGGCTAAATTGTTTTGTTTTTATTAAATTTTTTATTTTTGAACTAATTAGATTAGTAATTAAATTAAAAAATTTAAAGTTTAAATATAAAAAAATAGTTACAAGTGAGCTAGTTCATGTGCAGCAGTATTAATCGCAAATAATTCAGAATTATCCAAAATGGTCATGGTGGATTCTATCTCTTTTTCTTCTGAATTATTCGAACAAGATCCTGCTCTATGTGCTGTACCTTAAAAATTTTATTTCTTCTTTAGAATTTCTTTATTCTGTTATTTGTATTTCTTTCTTAGTAATTAAGTAGAATTACTCAAAAACTTTTTAATAATACTTTTATTAACCATCTTTGCCTTCTTCGTAATTCGGATCCGAACCCATTAAAACTGCAATATCGTAATCTTTTCTCAATTTAAATTGATCTTCATTGTACATAAATTTACCAAACGTGGATAGTGTTAAATCATCGATTACAAACGGATTTCTTGGTACAACTTGATCCTTGAATTGTTAAATAATTTTATAATTTATATTTCTCTAAAAAATTAGGAATAAACTAGACGTAATGTAACTAAAACTGATCTGTTTAATATTGTGTGATACTTAATACTGCAAGGGAAGGATAATAATACCTGACATATAATAATTCCAGCAATGTTTAGACGAACTAAGGGATTTCTCATGCTTCTAAAACGAAGATCTACTCCATTCCAAAAAGTTAGAATATAAGCCACAGTTTTGACAATATCACTATTAAAATGTCTAATAACAAATAAATAATTAGAAAGTAACTGTTTAATTAAATTTATTTTGTAAATATTTAATGAATTTGCTGAACGAATTAAAAATAATGTCAGAACTTACTCAAAGAGAGTTTTATCTATATATAATAATATTTCTGGATACACTATGGTAGGTCTTTTTAAATTTAATTTAGTTTTCTCATTAAACTCATACGAAGTAGTATTAGTATCCATATTGACAGGAGGTACTGTACGTTTATAAATTACATGAAGGTTATTGGTGTTGTCCTTTACAGATTCATAGATTTTTTTTGATAAAATATTACGACGTTTACGAATATAAGATTTTATTGGAAGTATTACTTGGTCAGAATCAATAATACCAGCCTGAAAAAATTTCTACTTATAAGCAAGACAGGATATATATAGAGATTTCTGCACCGACATTTACAGACACTTTTTAGCTCAGACTCAAACCAGGTAGCCAAGATACAAACAAAAGATGAGTGCATAGTGTTATTGAAGAAGTTTGATTCTTGTCATTCTTTCCAGAATTTTTGAGATCAGAAAGATCGTCCGCCGAATAAGATTTTGCCCTATTTCTCCTGTGGTTTGGCTTTAGGCTATAAAGTGTCGGTAAATATCATCGGTGCAGAAATCTCTAGATAAAATCCGCCTTGCTTCCTTCTTCTTTATTTATTTTTAAGTTTTTACAAAACAAAGTGCATCAACACATTGTTTCTAAGTAATTTAAATAATTGCATACTGAACATTCACTTACGAATTCTGATATTCCTCTTTTATTTATTGTATGAGATATGATAGATTGTGTTTTCTCATCTCTATAAAATGTAACATTAACATTTTCCAGAACCTGCACACACAACATTGAATTAAGAAAACTAAATCACGAAAACCATAAGAAATAAATGTTGTACTTACATTTTTTTGCAACGTGTAGGTAAATTTATTGCCATCTTTTTTAGCTAACCAAACATTTGTATCTTTACCAGCAAAATAGCCTTTTAAGTCTTGTAGAACAATCTCTTTATCAGTGCCATTAATTTTTACCCTGATTGATAATTTATTAATACTTCTTTTGCGAATTGAATGCTTAACCGAAATTAGTTTATAATCAAGTGCTGAAAATTTTTTATCATCCAAAAATGTTTGGACTAATATCGGAGAATCTGTATCAGTTATGTGTTCCTGGATCTAAACAATTTATTTATTTTAATGTTACTTACTTTCGTGTAATTATAAACTTCTTAATGAATATTAAAATTTCAAATAGAAAAATTTACCTGAAATGTGTGTAAAAATTGTATAACGAATGTGAAAAATAATATACAGTAGTTATTCATTGTTTATTTAAAAGTATTGTACAATTAGAAAACTATGTAATTTTATATAAAACTTTCAAAAGTATTAAAAAATAAACTTCTTCAGAGTATTGCGATCGATTAGAAAAATTTTAATTTTTGAAACAATTTAAGTTTAACTACAAAAATAATAAAAAAATTTATATAAATTCTTGATTTTTATTATATTTTTCTAATGTTAATTTTCTTATCTGGTTTAATAAAGTTATGTATCTTTTGATATTCTAATATTTAATATCAACAAACTCATTTGACTTAATTTTAAATAAACGTATAATAATTCATAATTTTAATTGTATCTATTATTCTCTGTTTATCTAGACTTTTGATAGTGTAATAAATAATTAATTTAATCATATATGTTTAAATTAATTTAAATATTTTAAAAATTTACCAACGTATCACTCTTGTTTCAAAAACATTGAATCTAATTTTAAGAAACAAAATAATGTTATACTTTATCTATTGAAAAGTTTGTAAAAATTATAAAAAACATTTGTAAAGTAAAATACAAATATAACCAATTGTGTTGTTAGAAGTATTATACAATTAGGATTATTTAAAATATAGAAAAACTAATTTTTATTTAAATATACATGTTAACTTTATTTAATTTCGCAATATATTTTACAGTAGATAAATAATTAAATATTTAGTAAATATACAGTTATAAATAATAATTCTAAAACCATTTGATTCAGAACTATTGTTTCTTTTCTCCAATATTTTTGTTTAATATTTAAAGCTCCGTTAGAAAATTCGTAGACAGGTTCCCTCGTTACAAATCTGAAAAACAGTTTATATTAAAATGTGTAAGAATAAACATCATATTTTAAATAAATATAAAAAGCAAACTAACTCCATTATTACTGCAAGGAAATCCATTAGGAGCAAGTTTCTGGTTAATTGTAAAAGATCTTGAATAGATATTTATCTCCATGCAATTTAAGGCACAATCAATCGAAGAGATCTAACAAAGAATGAATATTAAATATGTAATTTTCTAAATAGATAAATAGTATACATAAACAGATATAAATTATTTAAATACTAACATTGAAAGCACCTAATGTTCCAATTTTTTGGCATTCGTTATTAGCCAATTCAATAAGAGCATCCTTAGACAAGAGTGAAGAAACACCAGAAGTAGTCTTTTTCAAACATTTACCACTTTGACAATACTAAAATAATAAAGAAAAAAAAAATGAAAATCAAACTTATAAATGCCACGTTTCAAAAAAATTCAATGTCTTGAAAGTAAAATTAATTCCTTACTCCATTATCACTACATTTCAATCCATCCCGAACGGGAATTTGGCTGTATTCTTCGTATTGTATACTAAACATTCTGATCTGTTCATAAAAGTAATCATTTTGTTTATTGGGATGGTATTCCAAGTCTTTAGAAGCTGTACAGGCTATCACACAGTTATTTTCAAGAGGCTGAAAGAATAATAAAATATTATTTAAATGCATATTAAATAAACAATACATAGGACCAAGATTAAATGGTTTTTATACTAACACTGAAGAAATAATATAATCCGTATTGGTTGCACTGTTCGTACAGAATTTGTAATTCTCTATGTGGAGAATTTAAAGTATTAGAGTTAATATTATCTTCTGGTCTGGATAATTCTTTATTAACCGTATCAATAGGTGATGATATTGTGTCACTATCAACATTGGTATTAAAATCATCAGATTCTAATGAGGGGGGTGCCATTTTATCTAGGGTATCAGAATCAGTCTTTTCAACACACTGCCCACTTTGGCAATACTAAAAAAATAAACAAGACAAAAATTTTAAAAACTTACAAATGCAATTAAAATTAAATTAAAGATTAAAAAATTTAATTAATAAAGGTAATATATTTCTTACTCCATTATCTTTGCATTTAAATCCATCTTGAACAACAATTTCTTTATAGTCTTGGAAGAATACATAATCATTGCGAATTGCTTGATAAGTGTCATCATTATCTTTATCAGGATGGTATGCCAAGTACTTGTCAAGAGTGCACGCTATGAAACATTTATTTGGAAGAAGCTGAAAGAATATCATTATTTAAATTTTTGGAAAAATATTATATATGTATACCAAAGTGAATTAAATGTTTGTATACTGACCCCGAAAAAGTAACCTTCTTTCGCTCGCTCGCACTGTTCATTCATGATTTGTAATTCCTTGTCCACAGGATCTGAAGTACCAGAGGTAGTACCACTTTGAGGTGTAGTTACATCATTAACATCTAAAATACTTCCAGGTGTTGTTGATTCTTTAAAGTCATCAATGTCATTAGAAATTGTGTTATTTTTAGAACTATCATCATTCGTAATTAAAACACGAGGTGTTGTATTTAAAGAACTCGTGACGCCATCAGAGGAAGAAGAATTAAAATCACTAGAATTATCGAATCTTTTAGGAGTTGTGGATTCTTTCACTGAGTCAGTAAAATCAGTAGAACTTGTATTGCTATCAGTAATAGTCCTTTCGACACACTGTCCACTTAGACAATACTAAAATTATAAACAAAACAAAAATTGTAAAGAATTGCAAATGCAATTAAATTAAAGTTTAAAAAATGTAATTCATAAAGGTAACACATTTCTTACTCCATTATCTTTGCATTTAAATCCATCATGAATGACAACTTCTTTATATTCTTCGAGAAACATAGTAATTTCACGAATTGTTTGATAATTGTCATCATTCTCTTTATCAGGATGGTATGCCAAGTACTTGTCAAGGGTGCACGCTATGAAACATTTATTTGGAAGAAGCTGAAAGAATATGATTATATAGATTTTTGGAAAAATACTATATATGTATGTACCAAATTGAATTAAGCATTCGTATACTTACTATGAAAAAGTAACCTTCATTCGCTTGTTCGCACTGTTCATTCAGAATTTGTAATTCCTGGTCCACAGGTTTTGGAGCATCAGACGTAGTACCATTTTGAGGTGTAGTTACTTCATTAACATCTAAAATACTTTCAGGTGTTGTTGATTCTTCAAAGTCATCAATGTCATTAGAAATTGTGTTATAATCAGAACTATCGTCATTCGTAATTAAATCACGATGTGTTGTTGAATCTAGAGAATTTGTGTTACTATCAGAAGAAGAAGATGAAAAATCAGTAGAATTCTCGACTCCTTTAGGAGTTGTAGATTCTTCGACTGTTTTAGTGAAATCAGTAGAACTTGTATTGCTATCAGTAGTAGTTCTTTCAACACATTGTCCACCTAGACAATACTAAAACAATAAACAAGACAAAAATTGTAAAGAATAACAAATGCATTTAATATTAAATTTAAGTTTAAAAAAATAAAATTCAAAAGTTTAAATATTTCTTACTTTATTATTTGTGCATTTAAATCCATCTTGAACGACAACTTCTTTATACTCTTGGAAAAATATATAATTATCACGAATTGCTTGATAAGTGGTATCATTATCTTTATCGGGATGGTATGCCATGTACTTGTCAAGAATGCACCCTATAAAACATTTATTTGGAAGAAGCTGAAAGAATATGATTATTTGAATTTTTGTAAAAATAGTATAGTGAATTAGACATTCGTATACTAACCGTGAAAAAGTAACCTTCTTGCGCTCGCTCGCACTGTTCATTCATAATTTGTAATTCCTGGCCCACAGGTTTTGGAGCATCAAAAATTGTATCACTTTGAGGTGTAGTTACATTATTAGAATCTAAAATACTTTCAGGAGTTGTTGATTCTTTAAAGTCATTAATGACATTAAAAATTGTGTTATTATCAGAACTATCGTCATTCGTAATTAAAACACTAGGTGTTGTATTTAAAGAACTCGTGACGCCATCAGAGGAAGAAGAATTAAAATGGCTAGAATTCTCGACGCTTTCAGGAGTTGTGGATTCTTTCATTGAGTTAGTAAAATCAGTAGAACTTGTATTGCTATCATTATCAGTCCTTTCGACACACTGTCCACCCAGACAATACTGCAAAAATAAAAAGAATAGTAAATGAAAGTGTTGCTGACAAAAATACAGATGATGGAACTATGAAGATTATGATTAGTATAAACTATAGTAAAAAACTAACTAACTATAGTAAAAAATAATAGTCTCTTACCCCATTGTTTCCGCAGTTATATCCATCTGGAGCAGACACAGATACGTAATCTGGCAATTCTCCTGTAAATTCATAATATGAGTCAAGATAATCCATCTTGTTAGATGTAGTATCAGTTCGATTTTTGCAGGCGAAAACACAATCGTCATTAGTAAACTATAATAACAAAAACATAATTGAAGTTGAGAATTTAGTTTTGTCAAGTTTGTTAGAATTGTTAACAAATGTAAAATAGTCCACAGAGTATCTGCAAACTTTATGAGAACTCCAGCCTTGCCAGCAAGTTTACAGGAAGTCTAGTGGTTTAAAAGATTCAAATATTATAAAAAATCATTTTATATATTTTTTAGACCTTTAAACTTGCTGCAGACAAGAGTCCTCCTAAGATCAGCGGAATCTTTACAGATATTAGCGAATACTAACTGCATAAAATTCTAATGGTCCAACTGTTTTGCAATGTTCATTCTCAAATTTATTATCAACAGGTTCAACATCTGAAGTATCATCGAAGCTAATAATACCATGAGATGTAGACGTTTCTGTATTATCTACATTAATAGGTGTTGTTCTGTCTAATTCTGTAATATTATCACTATTGTTTATTAAATTATGAGGTGTTGTTGAGCTTGAAAAAATGGTTATATAATCTGAAGAAGAAATTGTAGTAGTTGAAATTGTGCTGGTATCAGAATTTGTTGCAACATCCGAAGAAGCCAAAGTTGTATTATTAGCATCAGTTGAACTTGTGACATCTTCAGAATTTGTTTCATCTAGAGCAGGCGTCACACTATCGACGGAAGGAGGTGAATCATTAGAATTCGGAACGTTATTAGAAGTTGTGTTCAATAGGTTGCCTTTAACTGAGTCGTTAGAATGAACCACACATTTACCATCAAAGCATGACTGTAAATTAAAAAGTCAGAAATTAAACGTTACATTATGCCCTTATAGTCTCTGTTTATAGTCAGAAATTAAGAAAGAAATACAATTAACATTCTAGTTTCTAAAGTGTAAACGTTTTTTAAACAAAAAATACAAACTTACTCCATTATTTCTGCAGGGAAAATTATTTGGGGCTTGTGTGGTGTAATTTTTGACTTGCAAAGTATTACGATGATTAAAGTCATTTACGTTCAATAATAACGTCTTGCATTGCAGGACACAATCGATTGGAGCAACCTTAGCAAAAAGTAGATTGATTAATTAAAAGTAAATATGCTATTTCTTCTATAAATTATTAATTAAAAAATAAATACAAAAATATTCGAATACTAACTTCCAAAGCACCTGATGCTCCAAAGTTTTTACATACTTCATCAGTCCAAACGTACATATCACCCAGCGACTGAAGTTTTTCTTGATAAGATATTAACAAATCATCTTGATTCGAGTTGTCAGCTGATTTAGTAGAACTTAAAGTGCTACCAGAATCTGCCTTATTGTCACATTTTCCAGCTTGGCAATACTAAAAGAAATAGAAAGGATTTAAAAAACATAAATATGTGTACAAATGTTGTTACTCAAAAGTACAATAACAGCAAGAAAAATTAAAAGTAGTTAACCCTCTACGTGCTCAGTTGAAAATTATCGACAAAATAACGGCATTTAGGTAGCCTGAAGAGGATCTATGGGAATTACATTTAAAACAGATAAAGTTAGGATAAGTTTGGATAGGCAGAGGGTTGAACTGTTTCTTACTTTATTATTCCCGCATTCATATCCATCTTGAGCCAATACTTCTGTGTACTTTAGGTCGGTTAGTAAATTTGTTGTTTCATTGGAATTGAATGAGTCATAATTTTCAAGGTAATTAAATATAGTGTCGTTTTCATTTACACAGGCGAAAACACATTCCTTATCGGTAAACTAAAATAAAAAATAAATATATAAGTAGATAAAAAGAACTTCAAAAAAATAATTACTTGTGAATTAGGAACTTAATTAAATATTCAAATACTAACAGCGAAAAATTTCAATCTTCCGGCATTTCTGCAATGTTGGTTCTCAATTCGAAATTCAGGTGTCATAACGTCTAATTTATTGTCGAGGCTAATAGTATCATTCTGTGTAGACATAGTAGTATTAGCAGTGTCAGAAGTAGTAGTGGAAATAGCAGAAGTTGCAGTAGTAGTAGAAGGATCATCAAATCTTATATTGATTATCGGCTCATCTTTACCATCAGAATTATTATTTGATTCATCTACTGGCACTTCATTGGAAGGAATAATTATGTCATTGGAATTAGTAGATGTAGTAGTAAAATCATTAAAACTTGTAACGTTTTCCGGATCTTCATCGTCATCAGTATTGTTATTTGAATCATCAATTGGTACTTCATTTGAAGTTATGTCATTAATAGTAGTATTTCTAGTATCAAAATCAGCGTAATCAGAGTCATCATCAGAACTCGTAACATTTTCCGGCTCTTCTTCGTCATCAGTATCGTTAATTGAATCATCTATTGGTACTTCATTTAAAGGAATAGTTATGTCATTAGTAGTAGCATTTGTAGTATCAAAATCAGCGTAATCAGAGTGAACATCAGAACTCGTAACATTTTCTGGCTCTTCTTCGTCATCAGGATTATTAATTGAATCATCAAATGGCACTTCATTAGGAGGAATAATTATTTCATTAGACGTAGTAGTTGTAGTGGTATAATCATCAAAACTTGTAACATTTTCAGGCTCTTCTACGTTATCAGGATTGTTAATTGAATCATCAATTGGCACTTCATTTGAAGGAATAATTATTTCATTAGACGTAGTAGTTGTAGTTGTATAATCATCAGAACTCGTAACATTTTCTGGCTCTTCTTTGTCATCAGGATTAATAATTGAATCATCAATTGGCACTTCATTTGAAGGAATAGTTATTTCATTAGACGTAGTAGTTGTAGTTGTATAATCATCAGAACTCGTAACATTTTCTGGCTCTTCTTTGTCATCAGAATTAATAATTGAATCATCAATTGGCACTTTATTTGAAGGAATAGTTATTTCAATAGACGTAGTAGTTGTAGTTGTATAATCATCAGAACTCTTAACATTTTCTGGCTCTTCTTCGTCATCAGGATTTTTAATTGAATCATCAATTGGCACTTCATTTGAAGGAATAGTTACGTCTTCAGAAGATATCGTAGTAGTTAGTTCATCTATAGTAGGAGTTAAATCAGGAGATTCAATCACACATTCTCCGTAACGACAGTACTGCAGAATTGAAAGGAACCACATTTAAAGTTAAATTAAAAATAATATTTTTCGCTTGTTTTAATCCAGTATTAGGATTTTTTAATCATTTGAGGTATTCTATAAAATTATTATTTAATAACAATTTTTATTTACCCCTGTATTATTACACAATGTTCCATCCTGAGCTTTGTTTGGATAGTAGATATATTCACCTGATGGGTACGTAGTTTGGCAATAACATGTACATCCTTTAAAATAAGCCTGTAACAACAATTATAAAAATTAACTTTAAAGCTAGATGGATAGTATTATAAATTATTATTAATAAATTATTTAAACTAACTTCAGTAAAGTCTTTATGTCCTCTTTCTCTGCATTGTTCTTCAGCAGATTTATTAATTCCAGGCAGATGATAAAATGGTGGGAATAATATATTTGGACCCAAGTTCGCTTTAGTTTCATTAAAAGGTACGTCTGCACATTCACCTCTTAAGCAAAACTGAAATATTTAAATGATTTATTAAAACATATTTCCTGATATGTAATAGTTATTGAATAAATATGAAATGTTCATGAATTTTTTACTTTATTCAAATCACAAGGAGTTCCTTCAAGTGCCCATTGCGTATTAGTGTACAGAGTGTTGTTATGAGCGATACATTTTATTCCAGAGCAAATGCTAGGATTTATCTAAAAAGATTTAAGTATTTAAAACAATATAATTATGAATAGTACTTAGACTGTTATATTACAAAAGGAATCTTAATATTTATTTCATGATTAATACATGTATTTATAATGTCTTTATGTAAACTTAAATATTAAAAAATCCTATATGTTTTAGCTTACTTCTCCTGCCTTGGCATATCCAAGTCTTCGACATTGCTCATCTATTGGTAATAATTTACCAGGCAGTATTCTTAACATTTGTTCATCATTTCTATGCTCAGCTGGATTATTTAGAAGACATTTAGCAGTTTCTTGACTGAAATAAAGTAAGAATTCAGTATTTTAGGACAAACATTTTTAAAATAGTTCAACAACAGATTCTGACAATTTATTCTCACCTGAAAAAGTGAGACATAACTTTTTTGGAGCACGAAGAAAAATGATATTGGTTCTTTGCATCAGCACGTGTGCTCATCAAGTAACCTTCATCTTCTGGACATGCTTCTGCTCCTGGTAAATTGGAGTTTCGCTTCGCTGAATCACCATCATGGGGGGATCCAAACCTATAAAAAATTGTAATAAAGGTTAATAATGCCTATACATGAACTGAAAAACTTATGATGACTGCTTTTCTTTATTTATGGTTAATAATAATATATAATTTTTTAACGCATACTTACAAATGACCTAATTCATGTGCAGCAATATTTATTCCAGAAAATAGTGTATCATCCAACATAATGGCAGTGGAGTATATTTCTTTTTCATCATTACTTTTTAAACATGCCCCTCCTACTGTTGCATAACCTGAGAAATTATTTTTTTAGTAACTCTTATGTAATCTTCTTGTAGTCAAACTAGTTAATTTGAGAAAATGTGATACCTGCAACTCCACTAGTGAAATCTGGATTTGAACCCATTAAAACAGCAATGTCGTAATCTTTTCCCATTTTGAATTGATGTTCATTATACATAAACTTTGAGAATAGCGTAGATACATTCGGGAAAATATGATACGGTTTGTTCGGGACAGGTTGATTCTTGAATTATGAAAAATGCACAATTTAATACAACTAATTAAATTATCTTTCTTTTGTAGCAACAAGCTGTTCTATGAGCCAAATGCTCATCACTTTGAAGTTATAAGCTTTTAACACTATTTGTAAATAACTATTAAAATAATTATTTATTATAATTACCCAAATAGAAATAGTCAATTAATTTAAAGTCAATTTTTATTATTATAATCGATGGTCAATTTTCTTTTAATTTTGACGATAATTTGACGATATATAATTTTATTCCCTATTAAAAATAATAAAGTGTATTTACACGTGCATATTGTTACCAAGGTTAAATTTTGTTTTTCAACCAAAAAGTGATTACTGTAGCTATTATTAACTTTATAGCTTATGGTTAAAGTATTTCAGAAATAATTTTAAATATTGAAATTTGAAGAAATTAAAAAAAAATGTTTAAAACATTAAATTATTACTAACAAATAGTATCATCAAATTAATGTCAAATTGTTATAAAAAATGGTCAAAATATGGGACACATTTTCGTCAATTCGAGAAATTAAATTGACAAAAAATTGACTACGATTTTAATGCCAATTGGACATAATATTAATGAGCCATTTCTCATTGGGTTAATTTTATCAGTATTAAAAAAGCAAATTACCCGACACAGAACAATTCCAGCAATATTGAAACGAACTAAAGGTTTTTTCATAACTCTGTAAGTTAGATCAGCTCCATTAAAAAGAGTTAAAGTATAAGCAACAGTTTTCTCAATGTCCATTTGAAAACGTCTAAAAATCATAATGTCAATTATTGATTTACAGTAAAATATTAAATGAAATTTGAATATTGCATTGAAAAATTAAAACTTACTCATAAAGCGTTATATCTACAAATACTAAAATTTCTGGATACACTATGTCCGGTGTTTCTAAATTTAAGTCTTCTGTTATCTCATTAGACTCTTCATTATTATCATCATGATCATAGAAAGAAGAAATGTCTCGTTTATATATTACGTGATAATTGTTGATATTGTCATTCTCATACTCGGAATATGGTTTAGCGTCACGACGTTTACGTATAAGATGACTGATTGGATGTATTATTACGTTAGAATTAATAATACCATTCTGAAAGAAAAATTGATATTTAATTATTATTTTATACACGAAAAAATAGTGTTTTCTACGAAAAAGTAAAAAGCAGTACATACAAATTCAGAAATTCCTCTTTTATTCACTGTATGTGATACTACAGACTTTGTTTTCTCGTCCTGATAGAATGATATATTTACTTTTTCCATAATCTACAAAAAGAATATTAATTGTTAATTACTATAGGCAAGTTTGAAACAGTGAAAAATAGTTATTTACTTACCCCTTCTTTCAGAGTGTACTTAAAGTTATCTCCAATTATTTCAGCTTCCCAAACTCTTGTGTCTTTACCAGCAAAATAGCCTCTTGCACATTGCAAAACAAATTCCTTGTCTGTGCCATTAAGTTTTACTTTTATTGATAATTCATTAATACTTCTTTTTTTAATTAAATGTTTAACCGAAATAACTTTATAATCATATGTTTGTGGCTGTTCCTGAATATCATTATGAATCCAGTTTTTATGGCTCTAAACAAATATTTTATATTATAGTTGCAATAAACAATTAATTAAATGTAATTTATAATAGAAATATTTACCTCTATTGAATATGAGAGTGGCGCAATGAGAGCGTACAGCAATATATAGACGTACTTCATGTTTAGGTCCTGGAATTGTTTAAAATTCTTTAAGAATATAAGAATAATAATTATGTTGTAATATTTATAATAATGTAGAGATAACAATTGATAAATAAATTTTAAACTTTTTTTACTACCACGGATAACTCACTTCGTGTAATACAAAACTTTTTACATATTAATCGTGGTCCACTATAGCAGTATATATATATATATATATATATATATGCACGACAGATAAAAACTGCTTTCAAAATATTTCCTTTGGATTTAATTTATTATTTTTATAACACAGTAAAAAACATTTAGTAATATAATAATAAATAAATAATAAATATACGTTTTACATATATTTTATTGTTTCATTATTTACTATAATATATTATTATCTTATAGAAATTTATAATATAAATCCATTATATAAATAAAAATAAAAAACTTACCTTAATGTAGAAAGAATTTGTCTTTATAAATTTCTCAAATGTGAACACTAGTATTATATTAAGGTTTCAATATATATACTTTTTATGTTTATCCTATATCTCTTCTTATGCTAATTTTTATGTCTAGTTAAATAAAACGAAGCATTTATTGATATTGCAACATTTGAGATGAACACAGCGATTCATTTGACGTCAGGTTAATAAACAAATTTTACTAATATTATCTTTACGTATGAATATATTTAAATAAAATTATTTCTCACTTGAGTCTGCAATACCTTATTTTAATAGATCAAAAATTTTCCATTTTATAAAATTTAAGGTAAAACAAAAAAATTATTTGACTTTTGTACAGTTCATTTTAGAGTTTAGACTGCAAACAAATTTATAATTGGTTAACTAATCTTTAACGTCCTAAATGTTTGATAATACAAGGTAAATAAAACGAAAACATTCGGATAATGTTTTAAATATTTACTCCAACGTTTCGAAATCTAAATGATTTCCTTTTCAGGGAGTCAAAAAATAATAAGTCTTTATACAGAAATATTAAATAAAACATAAAATAATAAATGAATAAATAACAGTCGCATTATTATTGTTTGTAACTGTAAAATAGTTTTTATTTTGTAATGCTCTGTAAATTTGATTACCATATTTTCTGGAACACTTTAAATAAACAAGCTGTACTCGCTGACATCATATTAAATAAATTATTTTTGACAATTTCAAGGTTTTATTCCCTTTTTATCTGATCAATTTTTATTTGAACGAAAGTAGAAAAGTAGTATTAAGTTTTTTAATGATGATCGAAGAAACTTTCTCTTTTATTTTATTGTTCAAGGTAAAAATATTCAAAAATCAAATATTTCAAAATTCAAATTTCAAGGTTTTTAATAATTTTTTTTATTCAATAAAAATCTATTAGCGAATTACTATAAAATGTGTCTATAACATTTTCCAGTCGCAGAACATAATATTGAATTCAGAAATCCAGATAATAAAATAATTTGATTCTAAATACCAAAATTGTTTTTGCAATATTCAACTAATTGATAAAACCAATTCAGAAATAGTTATTTAGAAAATCTTACTTACTATTATTTCAAAAACATTTAATTTAATTAATAAACATATGTTATCCATTGTTTATTTATGAGTATTATATGATTAGAAACCGACTATTCTTGTGATTAAATAAAATATGAAAAAACTAAATTTTACCTAAATTTGTATATTTGATAACTTTATTTAATTTCTTAATATATTTTACAGTAGATAAATTATTAAATATTTACTAAATATAAAGTAATAAATAATAATTCTAAAACCAATTTATTTAGAACTTTTGTTTATATATCCTAATATTTTTGTAAAGTATTAACATATTAATAGCTTTTTAAAATTATAGTGAAATTTTACAAAAAAAAATTTTAAAGATTAGTTTAGGATATAATAAGCAAAGAAAAAAGTTGATATCTCAACAGTTGGGAACAATTGGTAGAAATTGATTTTGTGCAATAAAAGGGACATATTTTTGTTATCCATTTGTATATAATGATTTTATTATTAACAAATTATGGTTTAGCCATTCTTTTAGACTTGATCGTGTATAAGGAACACGCCAAAATTAAATTACCCTTTAATCAATTGATAAATATAAAACAGAAGTGCAGAAAAATGGGATAGAATATGTGGATCGCTGAGCGACCCACTGTGACGCAAAGAGTTAAATAGCATTTCATTTGAAGGTACAATTATGCCATTAGAAGTATTTGTTGTAGTAGTAGAATGATAATCAAATCTTATATAAATTTTAAGCTCTTCTGCGTCATCAGTATTGTTCATTGAATCATCAACTGACACTTCTTTAAAAGGAATAGTTATGACATTAGAAGTAGTAGCCGTTGTAATAGAAGAAATCTTGATGATCAATTTTATTTAAATAAAAATAGTAATATTTATTTAAGAACATTCGGTAAAAAATTGTGGTTTCGTAGAATACACTTAATTTAAAGATAAAAAATTTTGCCTTATTGAAAGAATTCACATGTTTTTTCAGGTATAATTACACAGAAAAAATAAGCAACTTAAAATACATTGGCTTCGTCCATAAATTACGTCACACGTTTTTAGCCCATTTTGACCCCCTCCCCCCCTTTGTCACACTACGTAACATCTGAAGGAACCCCCTCCCTCTAAATTACGTCACAATTCGTAAACCCCCCTTTAAAAAATTTGACTTTTTTGAAAATTTGGTGGGGTAGAGGGGGGCCAATTTTACCAATTTTAATAACACCGCCTACTTTGTGAATTTTTTCTGAACATACTTGCAATAATTTATTTTTAAATAAAACGGACCGATTTTTGGGAAATTGAAAATTAAATAGGGGAGAGGGCCCCAAGATGGACATTTCCTATAAAATTTTTGTTTAAAGTGACAGCATCTTCTCAATTTTTTTATTTTTGTTGTTTGTATAGACGAAGATTTTTATGCATATTTGAAAAATAAAACCAGTTTTTTTTCTACTGCGCATATCACCTGAATTTTTTGTCAAAAAAAGTTTTATTTCCGATTTTTCTCAAGTCGATAAAGTTATTTAAATTTTTGATTTTAGATAGGTATTTATCGTTATAATATTATTTATTTATCATAAAATAATATTCTAAAATGATTTTATTAATATTTTGTTTGTATACAATTTTTTTCTGGGTTTCAAAAAATGGTGTCATTTACCCTAAGATGGACACTTTTGAGACCCTAAGATGGACACCACATTTCAATGTATTTATTTTCATGCTTTCGATTACACATTTTTTAAATAATTTTGTAAGCCTCGTAATTGAGATTTTTTATTTTTACCGCCATGGAATGTAGAGCTATCGATAGAGAATTCGATATATCGATATATCTTAACTTGTCAAATTAAAGTTAAATATGTTATTTTTTTATTCTCAAGTTATAAAATTAAGATTTTTAATAATGTTATTCCTAGTAAATAGAATAAAATGATTAAACATTAGTTTAAAAATTAATACAGGATGTTTATCTCTAATTTACCACACTTTAAAGTGATTTTTAAGAAGGTGTCCATCTTGGGGCCACTTTTTTTTTCGTCAAAAATTATAACAATTAGAAAAAATGCTATAAAAAATGTTTAAGTTCAAAATAAAATTTTATCTCAGTGGCCATAAGTTACCTAATAAATTGTACTTTCATTTAGTATAAAACATTTTAACATATCTTATTCGGTTTGGATTTTAGAGCCATCAATCGAAAAGGTGTCCATCTTGGGGCCCTCTCCCCTATTAATTATCAAAATTAGGGTAAATTTTTAAAATATTAAAAAATAAAATTCACCATTGGAAAAGGGACGAAAAAACCTTTCAGAAACATATTCTAAAAAATTTTTCCATTACAAGTATGTTCAGAAAAAATTCACAAAGTAGCCAGTGTTATCAAAATTCGTAAAATTGGCTCCAAATTTTCGAAAAAGTCAAAAATATTTTTTGGGTCATTTCTACTTGATAGAACAACAAATTCCCCGAGTTTTAATTTTTTTCAAGAAGTTGAAATTTCAACTTAGGACATTTCACGTAAAATGCCTCATAATAATTAGTACACTTTTTAATATTTTAAAAACAAGAAATATATTTGATATTTTTATTTATTACAATTTTCTCATTATAATAAATAGAGTATAAAGTGTGACATAACAAAATAAAAAATCCCCACCCCCCCTTTTTGTTACAATTAGTCACATTTTCATAGACCCCCTCCCCCCTAAAAAGTGTGACGTAATTTATGGACGAAGCCATTGCAGTAACTTTTAAAAAGTTCAAAACACTTTACTCATCAGATAAATACTTCAAACTGAACACAAGGATTTTGAAAAATCCTCAAAAAATTTTTATGTTATTCATTGTTTATTTAGGAGTATTATATGATTAAGAAGCGAATAATCTTGTCATTAATTAAACTATAGAAAAACTAAGTTACATTTAAATATGTATATATAACTTTATTTAATTTTGCAATATATTTTACAGTAGATAAATTATTAAATATTCAGTAAATATAAAGTTATAAGTAATAATTCTAAAAGCATTTTATTTTGAACTTTTGTTTCTATACTCTAATATTTTGTATAGTATTAATAGCTGCGATAGAAAACTCACTGGCACGTTCCTTCGTGACAAATCTGAAAAACATTTTATGTTAAAATGTGTAAGAATAAATATCACATTTTAAAAAAATATATAAAACAAACGAACTTTATTATTACTGCAAGGAAATCCGTTAGGAGCAAGTTTCTGGTTAATTACAAAAGATCCTAAAGAGAAATATTTTTCTTTGCAATTTAAGGTACAATCAATCGAAGAGACCTAACAAAGAATATGTAATTTATGTATTAAATGTATCAAATATGCAATTTCCTAAATAGATGAATAGTACAAATAAATAGATACAAATTATTCAAATACTAACATTGTAAGCACCTGATGTACCAATTTTTTGGCATTCGTCATTAGCTAATTCAAAAAGAGGATCATTAGACAAGATTGAAAGAACACCAGAATTAGTCTTTTCCAAACATTTACCACTTTGACAATACTAAAAAGTAAGGAAAACGGAAATTAAAATCGAACTTATAAATAACACTTGTGAAAAAATTCAAAATCTTGAACGTAATAATAATTCCTTACTGCATTATTACTGCATTCAATTCCGTCCTGCACGGGAATTTCTCTGTAATTTTTGGATTGAATATAATTTCTACTAATCGCTTCATACGTGTAATCATTACGTTTATTGGGATGGTATTCCAAATCTTTAGAATCTACACAAGCTAACAAACATTTATTTTCCTGAAACTGAAAGAATAATATTATATTATTTAAGTATACATTAAAAAAACCGTAAATAAGACCAAAATTTAATTGTTTTTATACTAACAGTGAATAAATAATACAATCCATATCGGTTGCACTGTTTGTATAAAATTTGTAAATCTCTATGTGG